TGCAGGCAGGAAGCCGAGGACATGGGGGTGCATCTCACCAGCCTGGCGCGCGAGCTGGAGCGGGAGGTTGACGGCCTCAGCTGGAAGCCCGAGAACGCAGGCGAATTACGAGTTCTGACTGGCGTGACATGGCGTGACGTGGTGCCGCTCGGCGCTGGGGAAACCTGGAGACCACGGGGAAAAAGGGCAAAACGGCACCACCATCAGCCTCATCATCATCATCATCCTCATCATCATCGTCATCATCATCATCATCATCAACAACAGCAGCAGCATCAGCATCAGCATCACCATCCGCATCACCAGCGTCAGCATCAGGATCATCGATATCATCCTCACCCCCATAATCAGCATCATCATCATCACCATCGTCGTCCCTTCTCCCCTGGACTCCCTTCACTACTGCCGCCCTTTTTCGTCGTCGCCCTCCTTCCCTCGCCCGCCCTGCCCCTCGCCGCCGCCGCCCACAGGAGCTCGCGTCCTGGGGCGCCCGCCGCGGCCTGCGGCTGCGCCCCAAGGCCCGGCGGCCAAGCGGCAACCCAGCCTCGGGGTTCAAGGGACGGGGTCAGGAGGGGAAAGAACACGCAGACACAATTAATCGTCGATTCCCCGGAAAAATAGGGAAAAATAGTGGACGTGTGGGGGGGAGACAACAACCCAGAACACGTGGGAAAATCTCGGCAATCTTGTTATTTGTGTGTGTTCATTTGTGTGTCCCAGGGCCCCCTTCACGGGGGCTAGAGCCAGGGCAGCATTGACCCAGGCTCGCGTGGAGGATCCTGCAGGATCCTGCAGGATCTTGCAGGATCCTGGAAAGCCCGATTGGCCCGAGTTTGGATTGGTCCGGGTCAGTAGTTCCTCGACAGCCGGCGGCCCAGGGGCAGGTCCCCAGAGACCAGGGCACTGCAAGCCAGCTCTCCGCCATATCCACCCAGAGAATACGAAGACGGTCGGCCACGCTTAGAAGGCGATATGGGGGAGGGGGGAAGGCTTCTCAGAAGCAGTCCTGATTCTTCGAAGGCGCGGGCCTGATTGATAGATGTCAGGCCCGCGCCTTCTGAGCAGCGGCCTCCTTCTAAGAGGCCTTTCCCCCCTCCCCCTACCCCATTGTGCGCGCCGCCGAGACGGGGGGACGTCCCGGCCCAGGGCTGCAGTTTTCTTGGGTGCGCCAGTGCCCTGGTTCACCTGGGTCCCTATCTACGTGGCCCTTAGGGCCAGGGAGGGCTCCTCCTTCCCCATCCTGCCTGGCTCCTGCCTCCTCCTCCTCCTCCTCCTTTCCTCCTCCTCCTCCTCCTCCTCCTCCTCCTCCTCCTCCTCCTTTCCTCCTCCTCCTGCTTTCCTCCTCCTCCTCCTCCTCCTCCTCCTCCTCCTCCTCCTCCTCCTCCTTCTGCCTTTTCCTAATGTTTGCGGTGCGTTGCGCGGACTTGGGTAATTGGACCAGCAGGAATCGTAGCGTCTGAAAGCGGGTGCAACAGAAAAGCGCAGAGTACACGCGCGGTCCTCAGAATAGCAAGCGTGCTCAAGGGAATAGAAGGCAGCTGGAGAGGAACTTGAAGAGGAGCCCGCAGGGCACAGAGAAGCAGTGCGCACTACCTTCTCCTCGTTATCCTGCCTCCTCCTCCTCCTCCTCACTCCCTCACTATCTCCCCACATCCTCTTCCTCCTCCTCCTCATCCTCCTCGTCTTCCTCCTCGTCAGCGCGTCTTTTTAATGGTCCTGATGCTACTTCTCCTCCATGCCTCCCTGAACCAGGCTCCCGGACGTCGCAGTTTTCCCACGCGCTGCTTCTTGTCTTGTCGGAAGACTTACCCTGACCGGTGTTGACCAGAGGGGTTGGTCAGCAGGGTTGGCCAGAGGGTTGGCCGGAGGGTTGGCCGGGGGGGGGTTGGCTGGGGTTGGCCGGAGGGCTTGCCAGGGTAAGGATTCGACAAGTAGCTCTTTCCATGAGATTCGCTTTTTTCTTGTGCGTGCGCGCGGCCGAGATGCCGATTCTGTGCGACCTGGGGCCGAAGCAAGGACGTTGGGGGCGGCGGCGGAAGGCCAGCGCCGAAGCTGGGGACGGCCAGGAACAGGGCTGGAGCGCTGGAGCTGCAAGCAGTGGGAGGCAGCTGCACTTCTGGCGTGGTAGGCGCAAGCACGCCTCGAGGAATCAGCAGCGGCAGTTTCTTGGCGGGTTTTGCCCTGGGCCTGTGCCTTCCGGCATGTTCTTCGCTCTTCTGCTGCGCCGTCGTCGAGATCATGAGCTTGACCCCGGCGCTGCTTTAACATGTGCATGGTCTAGTTTGATAGAGCTCTTCGGCCGTTCCGCGGCCGCCTCCTCCTCCTCCTCCTCCCTCCTCCCTCCTCCTCCTCCTCCTCCTCCTCCTCCTCCTCCTCTCCTCCTCCTCCTCCCTCCTCCTCCTCCTCCTCCTCCTCCTCCTCCTCCTCCTCCCTCCTCCCTCCTCCTCCCTCCTCCCTCCTCCCTCCTCCCTCCTCCCTCCTCCCTCCTCCCTCCTCCCTCCTCCCTTCTTGCCCTTCCTCTGTCTTCGCCGAAACTCGCCACGGACGCGTCTCGCCGTTGATTAGCCCGACCGCTTTTGTTGGACCCCCACTCGCCGCGGACCAAACACCGCTTCCTGGCGGGGGAGGCTCTCCTCGCCACGCCAGGCCTCTCCGCATGCCCACCTAATTGTCCGAAGACGTGCGCTCCTCGGGACTTCCGAAGAGCGTCGGACATGGATGCGCATGGGCATCTCCCGTCCTCACGAGGCGAGACCCTATCCGTACTCCAGATTTCGTAATAGAAGGGAGGGGGTCTGGACCCTCAAGACAAGCCATTTCAGACCTCCCCCGTGGGAGAACCCTCCAAAACATCGTCCCCAGACCCCCCAGGCCCTCCAAGATAGCCTGGAAGAGACCCCCCCCCGAAATTAGACCCCCCTCCCTTTATTACGAAATCTGGAGTATCCAACGCTCCGCGAGATCCTCTTTGCGAGGGAACGAAGGCATGGACTGAGGCGCGTGGATTGGTGACGAGTCCAGTTTCTGCACGAGATCGGCGCGCTCCGTCGCCAAAGGAGGCGGCACTGGCCTCGTGCTTCGGCGGGTACCTTCCTGGGTCCATGGATTTGGTGCCAGCGCGCCAGGTCCACGAGTCCCGAATCCATGTTGGCGTGTGCCCGACTCTTGCGCCTCGAATTCGGTGGATCTAGATAACCTCTTGGCACGGATCTTCGCTCAGCCTCCTGAGGGGGTCGCCGCGCCGACGCTGCGGCGATGCCAGCGTGGGCCTTCAAGGTTGAAGGGCGCTGGCGGCATGAAGAAGGCCAAGTTCGAACGATCTCCGCTGTCGGCAAGGGCAGATCGCCCACGATGGAACGATCTGCGTGGTGCCAGAAGCCAACGTCCACGTCGGCACGGCAGGAACCGGCCGCTTCCTCTGGAGGGGGTGAGCCTCATGGTCTTGCTCGTTCCCCTCCTCCCCCTCCTCGTCCTCCTCCCCGTCCCCCTCCTCGTTCCCCTCCTCCCCCTCCTCGTCCCCCTCCTCGTCCTGCCCACGGCTCTTCCCCGCCCCCCTTCCCGCCCTCCTGTGCACGACGATGGCCAGACGCCGCGTGCAGTCGCCATCCCGCCTGGTGATGTGCTTCGGCAGTGCAGTGGGGTCGCTGCTTCGGCCTGGGCGGCACAGCGCTGAGTAGTGCAGCATCGGCCCTCACCCCGCTCGCTTGGGATTGCGGATCCGATTCGCGATCTTTTTGTTCACTTGGTTCGTGATGCGAACGGCACGTGCACGAAATTACAGGGTTCGAGACACGTGGGTCTTGTGAGAAAACATGTTCCCCTCACCCTCAGGGGTCGGGCATATGTCCACGGACCCTGCCCCACCCCTCCCCGGACTCCGCATCCGCTGTAGTTTGGGCAATTCCGTAAGTAGAGGGTAATGTCCGCCCTATTTTTCAAGATCCTTTGCTGCCGACTTCCGCCCTTTTTTACCGCCACTGTTCCTGCCATACGTTTGAGGAATTGGCCGCCCTATTCTTCGAGGCGGAAATTACCGCCCTACTTTTTTCCCATCTCTGATGGCATCTCCGACACTTTTTTGCAAGTCGGAGAATCCACCAAAGCCCGGCGGATCCGGAGCCAGGGCCTTCCTTCAGTGCAACCGGACTTGCCCGCTTCTCAGGGAAACGGCCTCAGCGACGAAGCAGGGCTCTGAGACCCGAACGGTGCTTGGGCGCCGTCGTGGGCCACTCTCGCTTCGATCCCCTTCTGCAGCAGGGGCGGCTCACGAAGACAGCACGAGGGACCACCAGCACAACACGAGCACCGAAAACCCTGGCCTCGGTCGAGCCCTCCACCCACCAGACCATCCCAACCTGACCCGAAGAAGGCCCAACCTGACCCTCCACTTCCAGTGCGGGGGGGGGGGGGGCATCGGGTTAACACCGACAAAAGACACATATGGAACCCGCCCCCCCCCCCCCCCCCCAAACCCGAAACTTGGGGCTTCGGGTTGGCTTGGGGTGGCCTGGTAGGCAGTCCGCCTGGGGCCCAGTCTGTCCGGCGCGGCCCGGCCGGCCCGCGCGGCCGGGCCCCCGCTCTGCAGCAGGCGGCGGCTCACGAAGACCGCGCGAGGGACCACCGGCACAGCACGCGCACGACGCTTGGCATCGCTCGGACGTGCCCAGAGATCCGATGTCGTGATTTTTTCAATACGCGGTCCCCAGAAGTCTCGACCGTCGCCCCAGGCCCCGTTCTTCACCCTGCGTCGTTTTTTGACGGTCCCGGGGCCCGGCGAGGGCCTCCAAAGGTCGAAAGCGGCGAAAAGCCTCCGCCTCGAAGTTCTCAAGACGTTGGATCTCTGGGTGTGCATTGTCTTCTCGGCGACGGAGGAGGAGGAGGAGGAGGAGGAGGAGGAGGAGGAGGAGGAGGAGGAGGAAGAGCAGCTTGGGCATCACCTCGCGCAGCAGCGCGCGCACGAAGCCGAACCCAACGAGCACGGGGCACGGGCGCCCCGAGCGATGGCGAGGACGAGCGAGTGCCTCGGCCTCTGCGCCCCCGGGCCACGCCTGCCCGGGCGGCCCCGCCCCCCCCCCCCGCTGGGGGGCGGCCCCGCCCCGCGGCGGGCCGGGGCGGCGAGGCCGTGCGCCACCTGTCGCTGGCCTCGGGGCGGCCCCCCGCGGAGAGGGCGCGCATCGGGCGCCTGTACGAGGAGCCGCCCCGCCCCGCCCGCCGTCGGGGGGCCGGGCTCGGACCCCCGACGCGATCATGATTCTTTCATGACGTCGACCCCCCGAGGTCTCGACCCATTCCCCGGGACCGGTTTTTCGTCCTGGGTCGTTTTTTGACGGTCCCGAGGGCCGGCAAGGGCCCCCCAAGGCCAAAAGTAGTGAAAAGCTTCCCGTCGTGATTTTTTCCTGCCTCGAGGGGGTCTGGGGGGCGAGGCGCAGCCCCCCAGCAAGGCGCCTCTCGAGGCCGTCGAGGATCGAGGGAGCGGCCTCTCTCTCTCGCCTCCCTTGGCCGAGGGGGGGGGGCGGCGCGGCAGGGCGGCGGAGGGTCGGCGGAGGCAGAGCGAGGCCTCGGCATCGCTCGGACGTGTGCATGTTTTTCCTTCGGCGAGGGCCATCGAGGAGCATCCCTGCTCATTTGGCGCAGAAGCCACGCACGAAACCGAAAAAAAAAGCACAGGGAATGGACGCCTGGGCCCGCATCGGCGGCGAGGTCAGTGCACGTCCGCCGCCACTCCGCCACTGGCCAGGCCTGTCCCGGGCCCGGGATCGGTGCGTACCCCTTGGCATCGCTCGGACGTGTGCATCTTTCCCTCGGCGAGGGCCATCGAGGAGCATCCCTGATCATTTGGCGCAGAAGCCACGCACGAAACCGAAAAAAAAAGCACAGGGAATGGACGCCTGGGCCCGCATCGGCGGCGAGGTCAGTGCACGTCCGCCGCCACTCCGCCACTGGCCAGGCCTGTCCCGGGCCCGGGATCGGTGCATACCCCTTGGCATCGCTCGGACGTGTGCATCTTTCCCTCGGCGAGGGCCATCGAGGAGCATCCCTGATCATTTGGCGCAGAAGCCACGCACGAAACCGAAAAAAAAAGCACAGGGAATGGACGCCTGGGCCCGCATCGGCGGCGAGGTCAGTGCACGTCCGCCGCCACTCCGCCACTGGCCAGGCCTGTCCCGGGCCCGGGATCGGTGCTACCCCTTGGCATCGCTCGGACGTGTGCATCTTTCCCTCGGCGAGGGCCATCGAGGAGCATCCCTGATCATTTGGCGCAGAAGCCACGCACGAAACCGAAAAAAAAAGCACAGGTGGACGCCTGGGCCCGCATCGGCGGCGAGGTCAGTGCACGTCCGCCGCCACTCCGCCACTGGCCAGGCCTGTCCCGGGCCCGGGATCGGTGCGTACCCCTTGGCATCGCTCGGACGTGTGCATCTTTCCCTCGGCGAGGGCCATCGAGGAGCATCCCTGATCATTTGGCGCAGAAGCCACGCACGAAACCGAAAAAAAAAGCACAGGGAATGGACGCCTGGGCCCGCATCGGCGGCGAGGTCAGTGCACGTCCGCCGCCACTCCGCCACTGGCCAGGCCTGTCCCGGGCCCGGGATCGGTGCATACCCCTTGGCATCGCTCGGACGTGTGCATCTTTCCCTCGGCGAGGGCCATCGAGGAGCATCCCTGATCATTTGGCGCAGAAGCCACGCACGAAACCAAAAAAAGCACAGGGAATGGACGCCTGGGCCCGCATCGGCGGCGAGGTCAGTGCACGTCCGCCGCCACTCCGCCACTGGCCAGGCCTGTCCCGGGCCCGGGATCGGTGCATACCCCTTGGCATCGCTCGGACGTGTGCATCTTTCCCTCGGCGAGGGCCATCGAGGAGCATCCCTGATCATTTGGCGCAGAAGCCACGCACGAAACCGAAAAAAAGCACAGGGAATGGACGCCTGGGCCCGCATCGCGGCGAGGTCAGTGCACGTCCGCCGCCATCCGCCACTGGCCAGGCCTGTCCCGGGCCCGGGATCGGTGCATACCCCTTGGCATCGCTCGGACGTGTGCATCTTTCCCTCGGCGAGGGCCATCGAGGAGCATCCCTGATCATTTGGCGCAGAAGCCACGCACGAAACCGAAAAAAAAAGCACAGGGAATGGACGCCTGGGCCCGCATCGGCGGCGAGGTCAGTGCACGTCCGCCGCCACTCCGCCACTGGCCAGGCCTGTCCCGGGCCCGGGATCGGTGCATACCCCTTGGCATCGCTCGGACGTGTGCATCTTTCCCTCGGCGAGGGCCATCGAGGAGCATCCCTGATCATTTGGCGCAGAAGCCACGCACGAAACCGAAAAAAAGCACAGGGAATGGACGTCCAAGCGATGGCCAGGAGGCCGCCGCCGCGGGCGGAAGGCCGGCGGAAGTAAAGCAGGCGCCCCCGAGAGATGTGGAGTCCAGAGCCCGGGCAGCGGAGCGCCAGGAAAGGCCCTCCAAGGCCTTTGAGAGGAGCCCCTTTCCAAGCTCCGGGACCGGAGCTTCCGAAGGAGCTTCTGGAATCAAGCAGTGGCGAAGCGTCCTGGCTCGCCTGTAGCCTTACCAAGCAATGTTCTAAGAACCCTTTGTGGTTCCCACGACATGTTCTTAGAGCATTTCTGGCTGGGACTGTCTTGTTTTAACACATCGGGTTAATGTTCTAAGAACATTGTTTTTGTTATTTGAGGATTTCTGGGTTCTAAGAACATTTCGTGGTAGGACTATAGGAATGCTGGGACGGTCGGTCCCTGCTCAACTTCTAAAGCCTCTGAGAGGAGCCCCTGAAAGCTCTGGGAACGGAGCTTCCGAGGGAGCTTCTGGAAAGCTTGGCGGCACACGTCTTGGAAAACAGTTGCAGTAGAGAACGCCTCCCGGAACACGCCGCAGCTTTGCACAAGCCGCTGCGATTTTTTTTTTACGGAAGCCAGAACGACCTCTGGGGCTACCCTCACCGCCTCGTCGATGAGCAAATCATGGGAACCTTGTGTACCCTCGTGGTTCCGTGTCTAGGGTGCACCAGCGTCGACTAGCGTCTGGTAGTCGATGAGATAGCGCCGATTGAGCGTCGATCAGCGTCGATGACCGTCGAGTGGCGTCAACTGGTGTCGATTAGCGTCGACGAGCGTCGGTTCGCAAGAGCCACGCCCCTCCTCCAAACCTCCAACATATTGAACAAAAAGCAAGAAGGAGGTTTTTCGTCGTTCTCGGCGTCTGGGAGCCCTGGCCGGGCCCCAGGACCGTCAGAAAACGATCCGGGACGAAAAACCGGTCCCGTGGAAGTGGTCCAGAGCTCCAGGGACCCCGCACTGGGCAGAACTCGAGACACTGGACGCCTGGGCCCGCATCGGCGGCGAGGTCAGTGCACGTCCGCCGCCACTCCGCCACTGGCCAGGCCTGTCCCGGGCCCGGGATCGGTGCGTACCCCTTGGCATCGCTCGGACGTGTGCATCTTTCCCTCGGCGAGGGCCATCGAGGAGCATCCCTGATCATCTGGCGAAAAAGCCACGCACGAAACCGAGAAAACACACAGGGAGTGGACGTCCGAGCGATGGCCAGGAGGCCGCCGCCGCGGGCGGAAGGCCGGCGGAAGTAAAGCAGGCGCCCCCGAGAGATGTGGAGTCCAGAGCCTGGGCAGCGGAGCGCCAGGAAAGGCCCTCCAAGGCCTTTGAGACTTTGAGAGGAGCCCCTTTCCAAGCTCCGGGACCGGAGCTTCCGAGGGAGCCTCTGGAATCAAGCAGTGGCGAAGCGTCCTGGCTCGCCTGTAGCCTTACCAGACAATGTTCTAAGAACCCTCTGTGGTTTCCACGAAATGTTCTTAGAGCATTTCTGGCTGGAACTGTCTTGTTTCAACACATCGGGTTAATGTTCTAAGAACATTGTTTTTGTTATGTGAGGATTTCTGGGTTCTAAGAACATTTCGTGGTAGGACTAAAGGAATGCTGGGACGGTCGGTCCCTTTCCAAGCTCTGGGAACGGAGCTTCCGAGGGAGCCTCTGGAATCAAGCAGTGGCGATCTGCTTTCCTCCACGCGCGTTCGTTTTCGATCCCTGGCCCCTGGGGCCCGCTCTCGGGCCCCAGGGGCCATCAGAAACGGACCTGGGGCGCAGAGAAAGCACCCCCTCCTGCTCCTCCTCCTCCTCCTCCTCCTCCTCCTCCTCCTCCTCCTCCTCCTCCTCCTCCTCCTCCTCCTCCTCCTCCTCCTCCTCCTCCTCCTCCTCCTCTCCTCCTCCTCCTCCTCCTCCTCCTCCTCCTCCTCCTCCCTCCTCCTCCTCCTCCTCCTCCTCCTCCTCTTTCTCCTCCTCCTCCTCCTCCTCCTCCTCCTCCTCCTCGGACCCGGGGCGCAGAGAAGGCACCCCGCGGGATCCGGACTGGCAGAGCTCGATCGGCGGATGCCTGGTCTTGGCATGCCTCCTTTGGCCAGGCCGCGGGGGGCGCATACGCCGCTTCTGGCCTGGCCTAGCCTGGCGTAGCTGCCGATGTGATCAGACTCACAATCATGATATACATAATATTGCAGTGTTCCACACGAGTTTGTATTGCAGCTCATCTGTAAAGCCGTCCACCGTATGTGGCTACCTCTGCTCAAGCCTTTTTCGACGCGAGCCCCGGGCGGCCCGCGACGAGCAGGACTGGTGCATGGTCGTCGGCCAGATCGCCCAGGCAGCGATCCTCGGGGCGGCGAACATCGGCGGAGCCTGGCTGGGTCGCTGCCCCCCTTGCCCGCAGGCGCCGGGGTGCCCGGCGCCTGCACTAAGCTGCCCACCGGTCTCGCTCACCTGCCCGGCGCCCCCGGCGCCGCCGGCGCTGACTTGCCCGCAGGTGACCTGCTCGGCTCCCGCGTGCCCGCCGTGTGAGGCGCCGGCACGCGAGGAGGTGGCGCCGTGCCCCTCGCCGGCCCGCGACGACGCGGGCGCCGACGGCCACCTGGCCGCTTGCCTGCCGCTGTGGGCCGTGGTGCTGATCGGCGCGGTGGCCTGGGCCTGCGGGGCGGGCTCGGTCGCCTGCCTGGTTCAAGGGTGCGCTCGTCGAGGACAGCATGTTGGCCGTGGTGTCATCGTCCGACCTGGTGCCGGGGGACGTGATTCTAGTCCGCTACGCCGCGGACGATCTCTGGCATGAACGAGTGCTGAGCTGGGCGCTGCCCGTCGACAAGAATGGGGCTGTGCATTGGGTGGTGGCAACACCCGACGGAGACATGTATGTGGAGACGATCGAGGGGGGAAGCGCCGAGGACAGCCCGGTGGAGTGGATCCGCCCGGCGGCTGACGGACGCCTCCCTGTTGGCTTCCAGGACGCCGTGTACTCCTTCCAGCGAGGCGAGATCGACGGGGCCCTCCTAGAGAAGTGCGTGAAGAAGGGTGCCACCATGGCGTTGAGGGACGCTCGGGAGCATGGCATGACCCCTGTCACCATGACCGTTGCCCGGGCCCCGGGCGGCCGCAGGGTGCCGATCGAGGAGGTCGTAGGTGCGGGGTTCGTGCAGCTGGCGCTCCGAGACGCTGCGCCTGAGGGCGCGGATACGGGAGGAGCCATCGTGGCAGGGACTGCTACGCCGAGGACCGGCGTGTGGCGCGTGGTGGAGGAAGGCAACTCGTTGGGCTACGACGTGGGCTGTGAGGTGAATCCCGTGACGGTGTACATCGGATGCAAGGGCGTCTACTCGCCCGACGGCAAGGACTCAGTGTTCGTGGAGTTCAGTGACGAGGACGAGGGCGATTTCGTCAAGAGGGTAGCCCCGCGACCCCCGCCCAAGGAGTCCGCGGCGCAGGACGCACGCACGCTGGCCATCAAGTTCAACCCACAGGGCCGCATGCGAGACTGGCGTGATGTGGTGGACAGCTGTCAACAGGAGGAGTTCGAGGACTTCCCTGTGAGCGGGCCCCGCAGCATGAGCTGGTGCCTACACTTCTTACGTCGTCGGCACACCCCCTTGGACCATCATCTGATGTTCCGCAGCACGTGCTCGCTGAAGCCCGAGCAGTGGGGGGTGGCTGAGCACGAGACTTTGCTTCGCATCATCGAGCTTGCGGGGCAGTACGACCAGTTGGATGTGACGAACCTGGCGTGCATGGAGGCGGCGGCGCGCAGGGTGCAGACCATCGAGTGGGCCTACCATGATAAGATCAGGGAGACGGATGCAGGGTCCACCTCGCGGCTATCCATCGAGGAGGCCACGGCTTTCTCAGGCCTCAGCCGCGCGGGGGACTTGATGATGGTGGCGCCCGCTCTCCTAGAGCACGTGAAGTTGCAAGTGGAGAAGGACGCAGCCATCATGAAGAACATCAGGAAGGCCAAGGAGGAGAGGGAGCTGAGGAGGAAGGACAACAACAAGGGCAACAACAAGGAGAAGGGGTGAAAGCCCCCGGGGAGGAGGGGTGCCAGCACTGCCCTCCTGCCCCGACACTACCTCCTGGCTTACAGTGCACCGTACCTGATGAAGGCGTAATTCATAGTCACCCTCCTGGGCTTGGGCCTCCCGGTTCGGATAAGCCAGCTCGGCCGCTGCGCTCGGACGGCCCGCGCCACCGTGACATTTTTCCTCTTCCTTATCTTGCTTGGAGTACTGCTGACATCGACGCTTCCGTCTACTCGGCGGCTAGAGGCGACGACCGACCTCGGGCTCCATGTCGGCGCGTGAGGCGTCGCATCCTGAGGCGCCAGGCCGTCGCCAGCCTGGCCAACCAAGCGATCTACACTCTCAACGACTTGGCGGGCAGCGAGCGGGGGTCTTCCGTCTCGCAGCCTGGCGAGGGGCGGGCCCCGCACGGGGCTGTGCAGCGGCGTGTATATGCGGCCGCCGCGGCGATGGGCCCGCCACCAGCTCTCTCGCCCTCGGGAGCCCTGCAGGAGCTCCGGGGGTGCACGGTGTACGAGGACGTGCAGTCCACCGTGGTGCCCTACGACGATATCAAGGCCTCCCTGCCGATGAGCGGTAATCGCCCCGTTCCCCTGGCAGAACTTTTTGGGGCCGGTGGTCAAGCTGAAGTCGACGGGTTTCTTGACTCTCATCTTCTCGAACCAGAAGCAGCCTCCCACAACCTCAAGGCGGCCCCTCGGGAGACGTACATGGACGAGGTGCTTCGGAACTCTCCGCACGCATACCAGCGGCTGGTCAAGAGGCTCGAGAGGGCCGGGATGATTGACTACACCGTCCAGCCGCAGGAGTTTTGTTCGCTCTTTTTCGTGAGAAAGAAAAATGGTAGCCAGCGGTTGGTCGTCGACTGCCGTCGCTCCAATTGTTGGTTCTCGGCCGCGGACCCCGTCCAGCTCAGCACGGGCGCCGGCCTCGGGAACCTAGAGGTGCCGGACGGGGCGCGGCTGTACGTGGGCCACGTGGATATCAAGGATGCCTTCTACCACTTCGAGCTGCCGGAGCGCGTGCGCAACTTGTTCGCGCTGCCGGCGGTGCCGGCCTGGGTGGCTGGCCTTGCTGAGGTGGGCGGCGTGAGAGTGAGCCCGGGTACTTCAGTGTTCCCGCGGCTTCGAGTGCTACGCGCTGTGGGTTTGCCAGACTCTGCACCGCCGTATCATCCAGGATATCCCAGGCCTCGAGCCAACCTCGTTTCTGCACGACCGAGGGCCAGCGCCTGCGACCACCCCTGCGTGCCACACTGTCTACGTTGATAATTTTTTGGCGCTGGGTACCTGCCGATCGACGGTCGAGCGGCTGGTGCGCCAGGTCGATGAAGCTCTGCAGTCCCGGGGCCTTCCAACACACGAGGTAGCCACGAGCTCACTGGAGGAGGAGGTTCTTGGGTGGGAGATCAATGGAAGACTGGGCTTCATTCGACCTCGACCAGAACGTGAGTGGCGCATACGTTTAGCGCTGGACGGCTTGCTAGAAACGCAGAAGGTGTCCGCCCGCGACATCGAGAAAGTGGTGGGACACTGCACCTTTCTAGCCCTCCTCTCTCGGACCTCGCTCTCCATCTTCCGGTCCGTCTACACCTTCATCGCTCGTCATCGTGATCACGGTACCGTACCGCTCTGGGAGTCTGTTCGCTGGGAACTCGAGGCCTTCAGGAACGTCATTCCTCTGATTCGTCGAGATTTTGGGGCTCCGTGGAGTTCAAAGGTTATGGCATCAGACGCTTCCTTCTGGGGCTACGGCGTCGTCTCACGGGACCTCCCTCCGGACATTGTTCAACAACTAGGGCGTGTCAGTGAGCGATGGCGGTTCTCGGGTAAGGCTCAGGTCAGGTCTCGTGAAGGGGTTCTGGGGCCCGACGGGGAGCTCGACACCGGCGACTGGGTGAAGCAGATGGAGGAGGACAGTCAGGAGAGAGAGGACGCCCTTTCGGATCTACCGGAGATCTTGAAGGAGAGGGGGTGGGCGGTGCTGATGGGCAAGAAATGGGAGGTCCCCATCTCCAACATCGTTCAGGGAGAGGCTCGGGGCCTCACTGCTGCTGTAAAACATGTGTGCCGATCTATGAAGAATTTTGGACGTCGACACCTTCTCATGTTGGATTCCCTTACGTGCGTACTGGCTCTATGCAAGGGACGCTCATCCGCCGTCGGCGTCTGCGCTGCTCTTCGATCCGTGGCCGCCCATGGCCTTGCCACGGGCGCGGTCTTCTCGGGTCGCTGGTTCCCCAGCGAGTGGAACCATGCCGACGGGCCGTCGCGGGGGCTCGGCCACGCTGGATACGGAGGCGCCTCGGCTAGCAAGGTCGACGGCCAGGGGGGCCACCGCGTCGCCGGGGACGTCTGTGACGCCGCAGGTGGCCCCCAGGCCGCCCGCGCTGACCTACCCAGTGCAGAGTTCCCCAGTGCTGGTCCGGCGACGGCCGAGGGCGTCCTCGCCGCCGAGTGTGGAGACGATAGGCTTGTCGCCGAACGTGCTGCCATGGCGCCCGTTGGGCCGTGTGATCGGCCGCCTGGGTGCTGGGACCGCGGGCCAGTTCCCGCGCGACCTGAGCGACTGGATGAACGAGCAATACATGGAGGGCTACGACCACTGGCGCGGGTCGAACATGATGGCGGCAGTCGCCTGCGCAGACCCTCGCCCAGGCCGCGGGGGAGGACGCGGGCCTCCCCTCTCGCGGCAGGCGCTGATGGGCTGGCGACTCCTAGCGCCCGCCTCCAGCCGCCTGCCGCTGCCGGTCCAAGTAATGTTTGCCATCCTGATGCAGCTGCTAGTGATGGACGACTGGGGGCATGGCCGTGTACACCAGCAAGACGGGGGAGATCGACAAGTCGCTGCTGCTAAACCTAGAGGAGGACCAGTGGTTGGTGCCGCTCTGCCAGCGTCTCGTGCTGGGCCGCGACCCGCAGGAGCTCCTGGTCGCCTTCAGTCAGGCCAAGTTCACGCGGTGCTTCGAGACGGCCGGCGCAAAGCGGCTGC